TCCCCGCTTTGGGTTTCTCTCCACAGAGTCTGTTTACGATTGCTTAACATTCAGATACCCCATTCTGGTTGGCAAAGACTTGACCATTCTCTCGATGAAGCTACCCGTTCAGAGTCTGCAGATACATGGCGTCGGCATGGTACGTCATTCAGCCGCAAGCTTGTCTCATTGCTAACAACCTTAGACGGAGAAGGTATTCGACATAGCCTGCGCTTTAGCGGACGTTCTTCATTTCGTGCCTCAGTCTGCATCACATGCCGAACTCAGCCCCCAAGATTACTTGACCCAGTTGATGCTGTTGATAGCAAAGCTACCGGGCGGCTCGTCTAAGTTCATACCTTTGCTGCTAGCCAAAGTCAATGAACTACTTCCGGATCTGCTGGAGCACGTATGCGAAGCCATTCAAATGCCAATCCCCACCAATCACAACCCTATGAGCCCAGACACACGATTTGTATATGAAGAGGAGGTTGGTAGAGGCCTTCACGCAGACTTGAGGAGGACATTTTAGCGGGAAGGAAGAAAGATGCATTCGAAAACTACAATCGGGACAAACCAGACTGGGTCTCACGAACATATCCAACCATAGGACATCGGACACGACCCCGAAGTACTATCCTATCCACCTCTACATAAAGAGTACCGACCGGTCTGGACTTCCCAGCGACCAGCGCCAGGACAGCCCGCCGACGACAACACTCAAACCCAAACCCCAAGCAAAAAGAAACAAGAAACCCTGACCATCCCAACGACCAGCGTCAAGATGGCCCACCGCCAACCACAACCCCACCAGCATGGCGACCAGCGCTCATGCGAACCTCGGCCTCAGTGCCCGCCGGCGAGAGATCGCGCCTTCGATGTCGCCATCGATCACCGTCTCCAGCCCACCACCAGGGCCACACACGAAGATGAGCTCGCTGCTCAGGCGGTTGTATCTTGTGTCCCTTTTGGACACCACTGTGGCCTCTGGCTGCTTGCACATCCAGGGAGGTCGCTCGCCAGGGTGATCCCTCATGTATGCGAAGGCCCGCTCCAGTTTCGTCGTCTGACTCTCATGAGTGAACCAGCGGACAAGCGGAACGGCAACGGCGAGGAAAACGGCGACGAAGGACCAGAAGAGCGCGGTGCGGAGGTATTGCCAAACGAGATCGATCTCGTATGCCTTTCGGCGGCGGAAGGTTTCGTGCCAGTCTGTGAAGCCCGACCCAGGCACGTCTGGGTCGAAGCGGTATCGGTCGAAGAAGAGGTCGAGGATGCGGCCGAAGGTGTTTTCCCAAAATGGGTCGTTTAGGCCCGCCAGCAGGCCAAACGACACCATCATGTAGGTGTTGTGGGCTTGTCGAAAGGAGATCGACAGGGAGAGTCGGCGGATGAGGACGTGGCCTAGGGCCCAAGAGAAGAGGGTGCCGATGGCGATGCGTAGCTCATTTGAGCTCGCGGCGAAGACGGCGATGAGCACCAGGCTCAGCAAGATGCGCAGCTTGTTCTGCGGGGACAGCATTGTTGCTGTTGTGGTGGTGGTGGTGATGATGGTGATGATGTTGGGAAGAGGGAACTTGGAAATGTCTTGATATTGAGCAAGTGTGGTATTTGCTGAAGAGCAAGAGGTAGAGGCAGATGAGCTGTTTATATAGTACTGGCTTCTGGGCGAAGACGAAGTGGTTGACAATAGCTACTATTGTTACAATAGGTACGTATCCGCCTTCACCTCTACTTTCTACAATACCGACTGAACAATAGCGGACTCATGGAAACCTCGCCTTCACCCCGGAACGCCAACAACGATTACAATACCAAGAAGTTGACAAAAGACAGGAGTCTCGATGTACCTCGCCTTCACCTTCACCCCAGTGTCACGTAGACCACAGGAACACACATGCCCGCTGCTCACACCAAGACGCGCACCCACGTATACCTCAAACCTCACCACCAGCTACCCCACCGTCGCCCAAACTCCATCGTATACCCCAACCTCCCCCCTAATAATCACTATACCTCCTCTTTGACAGCGCACTCACCCTCGACACCCTTCTACTCGCCACATCCAGCCCCTCCCCCTCAACAAACAACCTATTATGCACTATCCAATCCTCAAACTCCTGCTCCCTTCTCTCCTCATCCGGGTCAATCCAATCACCCATCTCACTTCCTTCCATAGTAGTATTAGTAGTATCGCTCATCCTGTTCACGACTCCATCGCGTGAGTGTGAGACCGAGGAGCTGGATTGCTCCGAGCGCCAGTGGTGCGGGAGGGGACTTCGGCCTCGCCCGTCGTCGTTGGCGGCGTCGATGTCGCTGGGATCGAGACGTTGGATTTGGGACTTTTTGTACTCGTGCGCTGTTTCTGCGAGGGCTTTTGCACTGATACCTGTGTTGTTCTTGTTGTTGTTGTTGTTGTTGCTGTTGTTGGTCTTCCAGTTCCGTGGTAGCGTGTACGAGAAGGCTGAGCGTATGCCGCTTGGCTTGCGGCGGAGTGAGCCGCCTACGCGGCTGAGCCAGGTTTTGGGGCTGGTGTCTTGGGTTGGGGTTGAGGCTGCATCAGCACCTGCGGGTGGGGGTGTGACGAAGGGGGATTTATGGGGTAGTTCTTCTCCGCTGGGACGTTGCATTAGGTGGCAGGAGTGGTCGATGAGTGCTGGTTCTACGCCATTGGGGAGTTGCTCGTAGGTTGACATGCCGATGCTTACGCCGCGTTTGCGGCGGAGGGAGAAGAATCGTGTTGGGCCTGTGAAGGGGAGATGTTGGGCTGGAGTGGGTGTCGTGGGCTCGACTTGTGCCTGGTCGGTGTCGGCTTCGAGCTGTTCGTTTCGTTGTGCGGTCTGGCGGACTGCTTTCTTTTTGTCTTTGCGTTCCTGATGTCGCTTTCGAATCTGTTGTTTGGTCAGCATGCGGCCTTCTTGGGCAGCGGTGCGAGGGCATGTCTCGACAATAGACGTGACATGCATGTGATAGATGTCCTTCATTATCGAATAGCCAGAGACGTTACTTACCGTACCGATCAAACCCATCCTGGGCATCCTGGGCAAACGCCTCACAAAGTCCTTGCCGTTGGAGATCAAGGATGAGGTTGCAAAGGAGAGCAGCGTACTTTCATGAGTACAGCTGTCAAGTGCAACGTTAACATGTCCACCGACGGCTTGTGAAGTTTGGTTCCGTGGGTGGGGACGCCGTCAACCAGAGGATCTGGTTGATCGAGGGTCCATGGACATGTCATGGTGGCCGCCTCAACACATCATGAGCACGGTGCAGAAGTATTTTCGACGTTATCATTACTCGTGGTATCAAGATCTAGTTTGATGGTGATCGTGTGACTATTTGCAGAGTCTTCACATCAAAGCGTCTTAGTACGTCTTTCGCCCATAGTGCACTTTCAAAATTCATCAAACTCGAATGCAAACTCGCTGTCAGGTGTGCACTCTTTATTCTATGCGGCTATTGTCATCTATATACCACCCAAGCAGGGAAGGGCTTCCACGGACATTCTCTGACAGTCAGGAACGGATGCAAGAGCTAGGACGGACAGCGGGTGAGGATGGAGCTTGCGTACCACTATCCAACCAGAACGAACGGCGAAGTATATGCGACTTTTTTAAGCGGCCTAGGCTTCGTGAAGTGATTGTCCGTCGACCTCATCGTTGTCGCGTACGGTTGCAAGATCGATTTTCGCAGCATCAGCAATGCGGGAAAGAGCCGCCATTTCCAACTGCAAATTAGACAGTATCCACTCATGATCACGCTCGATCTGTTCATAAGTACGTGCTTTCCTCTCTCTGAGTTCTCTCGCTGCGTGTCTGTGGAAAGTGAAAACCTTGTCGAGGAAACCACACTCTCTCGCGATGAGAGCCTCGTGTGGTGAGCCGTCCACCATGTCTGTCAGATTGTTGTGAAGAGTTGCCCTCTGGTCACACGCGTCATCGTGAACCCTAGCATGGGTAAGCAGGAAGTCCAGAACTCCCTGCTGAGCTTTGAATGCTTGGGCCGTTCGGTGGAGTGTCAGACGCTTCCTTGTGGTTTCGTGGTCGATATGTCTCTCGCAGGTCTGGATGGCGTCTTCGATGGTTTTCGCGAGCTTGGTTTCGTCTTCTGCCGTGAAATCTGTTGCTGCTTCGCTCGAACCTTCCTAAGTCTAACGTCAGTTCGAGGGTCGCAGAGAAACTCAAGACAATGGCACTCACCAGTGACAGCTTCTCCGTCAGCTCACTAAGCCCATCGCTGCGGCTCAGACACTCGCTGATCATTTTGTCGACGACACTGTTGAGCCCTTCCTTCATGTTCTGAAGCACGTCCAGCTCGACAGTGTTACCGTGTTTCAGGCCCTCGATAATGGCGTCCGACGACATGATGAGTTAGCGCGACTGTCGCAGGCGTCGCCGCAATATTGATTTCTGTCGGTGTTGTGGTCGTGGTGTGTCGGTCGGAGTCAGAGAGCCTCCCAGAAGGAGCAGGAGCGACTAGCGCGAAACAACCAGGCCAGCGGTGAAGGTGAGCGTGAAGACTGAGACTAGCGATTGCTGCATATCGCACTTGGTCTGCTCACAGTAGTCTCCAGATATCAATTTCCGCTATGCGATCCTGTCGAGTCATGTGTATCTCACGTCTAGACATTCCCCGGCTTCGATAACCTCTCCGTAGGATGGTCAGAACCTTTCCTCAGTTTTGACAATTTTCTTTTCCGCTTCTGGCTTTCTCTTTCGGTGTCTTTGGAGGTCACCCCGACATTCTTGTCGCGTTCGTTTCGGGTTTCAACCAGGATCTTTTTTCTAAGTTCAGCGAAGACTTACACTCAGTGAGCTACGCATATGCTGTCTAAGCCGAGACTTGTCCGAGTGCGATGGTCCACCGTTGCAGAACCCTGTACTGAGTTTAGCTACTTGGCCGTTGTAATAGCATTGCATCACCTTAATCCTTCATCATGAAGTACCGGAACTCACGCGAAACAAATGATAAGGGCTTAAGTAGCTTAATTAAGCAGTAGCCCTAGAGGTGTTGGACACTCCCCATTAATCATCTCCATCCTCGTCCACATCAAGCTCAACACCAGAAAGCCTAGCCATGACCTGAAGGCCTCGCAGCAGCTCAACCAGCGCCTCGTACTCCTGCACATGTACCTCTTCCGCCTTCTTGATCTTCTCAGCCCGCCTGACCTCGATAGCCGTCCTCTCAATTTTGACCGCATCGAAGAATTCAGAGATCAAGATGCATTCTTTGTGATCTTCCTTGCGAAGAGCGTTGTGCGCTGGGGTAACCGCTCGGCGCAAGCGCTTGTGAACCCTGGTCCTTTTGCGTAGGATGTGCTCGTGTCCCTTGATTTGTTCGCGCCGTTCGCCCAGTGACTTGGTTTCTGCTGCGTAGGACTCGTCGGCTTCTTCGATGATTTCTTCCCATTTGATACGGCTGCCCTTCATGAGTCCTTTGATGACGCGGAAGTTGGCTTTCATGGATGTTGCAAGCTTTGACTCCGGTTCTGGCGCTACCGTTTCGATCGGTTCCAAGTCTCCCTAGAATGCAAATGTCAGTCTTAAGCTGGTGCTGAGTTCGAGGATAATGTGGAAGTTGTACCTCCTCCTCGAGCTCGCTCTTTCCATTTTCGTTGTTGTCATACTCGTCCCCGGCAGCTCTACCGTCATCTTCGGGTTCTTCGTAGTCATAGTCATTCTCGTAGTTGGACAAGCTCTCGTCATCAGAGTCGCTCAGCTCACCGCCATCGCTGTCGCTCCAATTTCGAGTTCCGCTGTCAGTCGAACGGTAAGACATCTTGGGCTCTCGTCGCGTGTGCACAGTGCCGTGTTGTCGTGCTAGTCCGTAGCGTTCGGTGCGGAGAGCGCAGTGCCAGCAGAAGCTCCTAGGTCGCGCGGCACCTGTTATCGTGAGATTCGGATTCATCGATGAAAGTGAAGATGAAAACCATCAACTTCGTCGCTCCCACTATGACCAAAGCGCAGCCGCTCGTACCCTTGCCATGCTCTTTCTCGTACCGGCATATGTGCCGTTAGATGCTCATCTGAGCCATCCAACGTGAGTCCAGGTCATCGAGGCATATGCGCAACTCGATATGAGCGGTATGCCGGCGTAAAGGCAGTTGCTGAGCATCGTAGGCATCATCACCTCTTTCTCTTAGAGATCTCCACTGGGAGTAGTTCATCCTGCTCAAGGACAAAATTCATTGAGCGAGTGTGGTATAGACAGGACGGCGAGAAGTAAAGTGAGATTTCGACGAAGAAGTAGAGGTATCACAAGAACAAGCGACATATACTACATCCTCAGCATTGAAGTGAGAGAGTCCCAAATACTCATCGACAAAGAAAAGCGGTGAGTTAACAAAACTGTAAACCACAAGAACAGCATGTGATAGAGAGAACAGATGGTAGACACTTGGAAACCAAGGCAGCAAAAACCCTATTAATGTCAGCATCTTACCTCCCATCCCCTCTCACCTCTCACCCAAAGCCCATACCATCACTTCCAGTCACCTTCCCCAGATCTGAAGTGTTTCAAAATCGTTAGATGGAGTTGCAATAGAATACTTGTACATGCAATCGAAAATGCTCTAAACCAGCACCTACGCGTCTACCTCAACCGAAAATTGGCCATCTGAATCATACATAATCCGGTTCCTTCGCCAAAACCCAAATCTTCATATCCACATAGTTATACAACGCAATGTGTCGATTGAACACAGAACGCTGAGACCAACTACGCTATCCTCTTTCGTTCATACTCCATCTTACACCCTGAGGAGCTTAGCAGCATAATCCACAATCAAGCTCTCACTGGGGAAGCTCATCTCCTCGAGCTTCTGGGCATATGGTGTGGGCACCTCAGCACCAGTGACACGGGCAGGGGGCGCCTCCAAGTAGTCGAAAGCGTACTCGCAAGTAAGCGCCATAATCTCGGATGCGACACCGAAGGATGGGAAACCAGACTCTACGCAGAGCATGTGGCCGGTCTTCTTGACGGACTTGACAATGGCCTCGACGTCGAGGGGCTTGATGGAGCGCAGGTTGATGACTTCGGCTTCGACGCCGTACTTGGACTTGAGTTGTTCGGCGGCGACGAGGGATTGGCCAACGCAGCGGGAGAGGGTGACAATGGTGAGGTCCTTGCCGGGGCGCTCGATCTTGGCCTTTCCGAACTGGGGGTGTGTTAGTATGAGAATAGAGTGGGATAATGGTGGGGTATCTTACGGGAATGACGAAGTCGTCTCTCTGGGCCTCCTCGCTCATGGGGAAGGAAAGACCGTACAGAAGTCTGTGGATGTTAGTACACAGTCTCCCGTCTCGCGGCGCTTGTGACCTACTCGTTCTCGAGAACCACGACCGGGTTAGGGTCGCGGATGGCAGCCTTCAACAGACCCTTGGCGTCCTCGGCGCTGTATGGCGAAACAACCTTGAGTCCAGGAATGCTTCCGTACCACGCAGTGTAATCTTGGGAATGCTGAGCAGCGACACCGGACGCGAAACCGTTGGGACCACGGAAGGTGATGTTGCAGGGCTGGATACCACCGGACATGTAGTGGGTCTTTGCGGCGGAGTTGATAATCTGGTCAATGGCCTGCATGGCGAAGTTGAAGGTCATGAACTCGCACTGTCGTCGCTGTCAGATTTGCTTTTTGCGTCATGGAGACCGAGAAACTCACAATGGGGTGGAGACCAGCGAGCGCAGCACCGACGGTCAGACCGGCGAAACCTGACTCTGTGATGGGAGAGTCGATTACCCTCTTCTCACCGAAGCGGTCGAGCAGGCCCTTTGTGACCTTGTAGCTGTGGCTCAGTCAGCACCGTCCATTGATATTCCATTGTGTGTAGCCTGCGATGTATTCTCTGCCCAATTGGACCCTCCTCTTTCTTATCGCAGATATAACATCTCTCTTCTTCATGGTGGGACGTACGCTCCGTTGTATTGCGCGACTTCCTCTCCGAGCACGAAAACCTTGTCGTTGCGCTCCATCTCCTCGGCCATGGCCTCGTTGAGCGCCTCTCGCACCGTCATCTCCTTCTGGCCCGACGCATATCCTCTCCTCGCAATTGACGGTGTAATGGCTGCGGCGCGGAAAGCTGGTCGGAAGGCGGGCGCTGGCCGCGACGCCGAGACGAGGCGGGAGGTGGGTCGGAGGAGCCTTGAAGCAGCCATTGTGGGGTGTGTGTGAGGGTGAAGGTGTGGTGAGGAAGTGCCGTGGGCGAGTGATGGCCGCTGAGGCTTGTGGTGGTTGCTGGGGCTTGCTGGACAATTTCTTGATGCGAAGATCCGAGTCGTTGGGGCCGGCGCTAACGATCAAAGCTCTTGAGCAGGGACCACACTATAGCGAGAACACCCGACGTGCGTCTGGATGGTCCCTGGATGGTCCGCCTCAACAACGTCGCTTTCACCATAGTCAACCCATCCATACAGCATCTACTGGATCGTGATTCAATGTCGCTTGCAAATTGTACGATGATGATTAAAACATTCAGATGAGGATTACTTCTTCTATTCTCTATAGCTCCACATTTCGCGTTACCATGACCGTCCCTAGACCGTGCCCTACTCTCAAATATTACAGTATATATGCGCGTCTCCAATGCGCGTGATGCAAATGCCAGGAGATGATGCTCCTATATCGAAGGAATAGCTCGCAGACCAACAAGGTCCTAGATGCGAAGAGAAGTCTAATGCAAAGGGCGAGAATTGAAAACTTATGCGTCGGCGGGTTTCCTTCCGACCATAAGGTACATGGGTGTGAAGAGCTTCTCCCTGCCACCAGCAACAAGGCAGTCGGCGGCGAGAGCAAGACTGTCGGCAGTCTTTTGGGTGCCCTTGGGGGCGAGACCGATCACCTCAAGACCACCGACGAACTTGTGAATGAGGCCACGTCCGACCTTGGTCATGCGGAGAATGGTGGGGATGTCGCCAATGGTGCTGATGTACTTCAGCTGGCCAGAGAGCGGCCAGTACCACGGGTAAGGGTCGTCCCTGTCTGCCAGATCCTCGTTGTGCTCCATCACGAAGCCGGCCTTCTTCATAGCATCGAGCGCGACCTCAATCTTCTCCATGTTCGAGATACCGTCACCAATCTCGATTCCAAGACGGATCTCGCGGTGGTGGGGGTTGTCGTTGTCGTACTTGTCGGTCATGAGCCACTCGTAGACACCAAAGACACCGCCGGGCTTGAGAACGCGGAAGATCTCGCTGTAGATGCCCTCGAGCGATGGTGCGTGGACAGTGGCCTCGATGGCGTAGACGGCATCGAAAGAGTTGTCGGGGAATGACATTTGCTAGGACGAGTTAGTGAAGGGTTCTCAGGGTGTGGGAGTATATCGTACCATGAAGTCACCCTTGGTGAACTTGAGCTTGTCTGAGAGACCCTCCTTCTCGGCGTAGGCAGTGGCACGCTCAATCTGGTAGTCGTTGTTGTTCAATCCCACGACGTTGACACCAGCGAACTTGACAATCTCACGGGCGGGTCCACCGACACCGCAGCCAACATCCAAGACGCGCATGTTGTCCTGGAGGTTCATCTTGTGGGCGAGGTAGTGCTCGTGGCGGGCAATGGCCTTGTAGAAAGACTCGCCATAGGCGTAGCGGGCGAAGTGGAAAGACTGTCCCCAGCCGTACTCGTAAAGGTCGGTTGCGAGGTTGTAGTAGTGTCTTGTGAGGGTAGCGTATTCATCTCGTCGTTCCTGGGTCTGTTAGTAAACACGGTATACAGCAATGCCACATATGCATACCTTGCGGGTCTCCTCGGTCTCGTCGCCAGCGGCCTTGTTGTCCCAATGCTTGAAGTACTCGTCGACAGCGGCTTGCTGGGCAGCCTTGTCCTTCTGCAACATGGCAGTCATGCCACCGCGAGCCTTTGCAGACTTGCCGTGCATGGCCTTGTTGAACTCGGCATCGCGAGAATGGTCTTCCTTTTCGAGCGCAATGGGAGACATGATGGGTATTAAGAGTGATAAGGAGTTATGCGGGGGGTGAAGTGAATGAAACGGATAGTAGAATAAACAATTCGAAGAGGACAGGACCCTGAAACTTTATAAAGACGACCCCGGAGAGGAAAGAGCGGTATGGGTAGGAGATTGGGACTTGAATTTCTTAGGGGGTAACTGGCGTCGCCCAATCACGACCGACTCTGTACGCGGCCCTGGTCAACAGCGCTAGCGGTCGGTCGTCGCCACCCGAGCGCGTGAAAGCCAAGACCGTAAGAGGCGTATAGCGTAGTGCCTAGATTTCTACCGTCACTCCCATACCATCTGTCGCAACAACCACCGCGCCCCACTACGCGTACTCGACGTCCCCAGATTCGCTCGGCGAAGTCGCGAGATTACATTCAAAACTCAGTCACTGTCGCACACCCTACACAGCAGGCCTCACCATGCCGCCGCAAATCAAGAGCGACCTGAACCGTACGTCATGTCTTTTTCCACTGCGCGTAGCATACACTAACTTTTGTAGGATCGGGTTGGGAAACTACCGACTTTCCGTCCGTCTGCGAGAAATGCCTGCCGGATAGCACCTACGTGCAGATGCTGAAGGAGGACTACGGCGCAGAGTGCAAGATCTGCACGCGACCCTTCACCATCTTCCGCTGGAAGGCCGACCGCACCGCGCGACAGAAGCGAACCAACATCTGCCTCACATGCGCCCGCCTCAAGAACTGCTGCCAGCACTGCATGCTCGATTTATCATTCGGTCTGCCCATCGTAGTCCGTGATGCCGCGCTGAAGATGGTGGCGCCCGGCCCACAGAGCGATATCAACCGACAGTACTATGCGCAGGAGCAC